TTGAAGTGGACTCCTGCAAGAAAGTATGTTCAGTATTTTGGCTCTTCTGTTGTCAAAAGAGATTTTAGAAAATTAAACCTTGTGCTGGTGCCGTGAAGGTTTGCGAATTTTTCCTTGTGAGGACAGTAATCCACTTTGACAGATAGCAAATCCTGAACAGTTCTCTCTTAAGTTGATTCTTTGGTGTGGCTGTTACAACCATTAAGGGATTCTGTGGTTGTGATTGGTATAAGGTAGGACTCATATGGTCTGGTTATTGTTAGAGATTGAGAATGACATAGCATTGAGAGATTTAAGAGGGATTGTTTTTTTATGCTTGACACATTCTGTTTGATGTAATATTTCCAATTCTGTTTTTTTTTCTTTCCTCATATAAAAGCCGAAGGGACTTGAGCAATTTTCCTCTACAGTAGTATCAAGTATATTTCTTGAGCTGGGTAGTGTATGCGTTGATGCTTTTGTATAGGTGAATAGGAAAAGGTTAATGTACTTTCGTTTAACTTTTTGGTGGTTCCCTGCAGTATGATGTAGTTCCTCCTGATACAGTATCGGTCAGTTCACTTGGGAAAAGGTCAATGGCGGATGAACCTATCAAGAAAAAGAATCCAGCTGCCGTGAAGATTAGCCCATGGACACTAGCACGATTAAATGCGGAGGATGTTTCAAAAGCTGCTGCTGAAGCAAGGAAAAAATCGAAAATTCTTCAGCCAGTGGTGAGAAACAAAGAACCTTACATTCTTGAAACAAATAGCAGTTTAGGAAGTAGCGGGCGTCGCATGGTGCCTAGGCTTGATAACAATAGAAGGAGAGCTAGTAAACGAGTTAGACTCCCTGCAGAGTTACCCTTTGAAACCATGAGTAAAATTCCCAATGATATAGCTCAAAACAGCAGAAGACCCATGCTAACTGAGTCATCAAGCAGTTTAGCTCCCCTTCAGCTTGAAGCACGGAGTGATTTCCGAACAACCCGAGGACTGTCCACCTCAGGTGTTGTTGTTGCTTCTTCACCTGAGAGTAGTTTGGACTCTCCTGACATTCACCCACTCCGGATGTCATCCTCAGGAGTTGAAGATGCTGCACGTCTTGTAGGTCACCTATCATCTGGAATGACTCTTCAAAAGGATACACCATTGTCTAGATCAACTAGTGATGGATACGAGGCATCTGGTGGGGAGGATAGTGATCGTGTGCCTACCCGAATTGTGCAAAGGTCAACAAGGTGGAGTAGCATTCTTTTTGGTTCTGATCAACAAGATGATAGAGTCAGAAGATTGATGGTCCCGTCTTCATCAACCCAGGCTAACATCAGGAAGCATTAAGCCTCCAAACATACTTGGGAATTCTTCTGTAAGCTCTTGAAGCTACATGATCTGTTGACATTTCTTAATTTGTTGATGATGTTTGTCCAGTAGTATATACCATCAACTTGGTCTGTTCCATTGTCCATTGAGTTCAATTTTTGGATTTTTGGGTGAGAGAAGTGCTGTAAATGTCTAGTGGAAAAAACATTATGTCTATTCTCTTGTCCTCAAAATGCAGAGCATTCAATGATCAGTTCTTGCTGCCATCACTTAGAAGTGGGTTTCTACTTTAACTAGTTTTTGGGGTGCCTTCACTGTTCTAATGTTGCCATCTATTCTTGATACAATGACTAGTTAAATGTCAAGGGTTAATCGTAAACAATCTCTCTACTCCATAAAGGTAAAGGTAGAGGTAAGGTTGTGTACATTTTACCTTTTTCAAACTCTACTCGTGGAACTATACTGGATTTGTTGTTGTAGAAAACTCGCCTATATCTAACTATATCTTAGCATACTAACATTCAACTGTCCTAAATCTTAAGAGGAAAGAATGATCAAAAGCCAAGGTACAATACTACAATTACTCAAATATCAGTAAGTCACTAACTTCATATTTCAAATATTCAACAAGGATTGAAGTTACAATTTTTGGCATCTGAATCAACTCGCACTAGCAAAGTTCGCGAAAATAGTCCATCTCGAGTGACCAACAAAACATGGAAGAGATGGTCAGTCACTCTGAAGAGATAGCAAGCTCTTGAAAGATCCTTCCTCTTTGCTCGAAATTTCTGAACTCGTCAAAGCTAGCACAACCAGGACTCAGTACAATGGCATCGCCACGTTGTGCTATACTCCTTGCCAACCTCACAGCATCCTTGAGAGTTTCAGCATTCAAACAAGGAATGGTTAGACCATTAGCACAGAGTGTTCTCTGTATCATCTTTCCTGAAAATCCAAAAGTGATTACACCTCGATGGTGTCGAAGAGGTTCAACCACCTGCTCAAATCCATTAGAACCTTTCATCTCTACCTCCTTTGCAACACCACCAAGTAGAACCACTGACTTCAGCTCAAAACCAATCAAACCAAAATACGTAGCCTCAACATTTGTTGCCTTGCTGTCGTCAACCCAAACTATTCCATCATCGTCTACATGAACAACTTGCATTCGATGAGGCAGAGTTGTCAATTTGGAAATCATTGAACTAAAAGCTTCAGCTTTGATCTCAATATCCAACCCAAGAACTGATAATGCAGCCACTGCAGCATTGGTGTAATTGTGCTTCCCAACTGCCTTCAGCTCACTCAATTGTAATTGTGAAAGACAGTCTATTGTAGGAAGCTTTAACTCAGCAATCTTCGCCTCCACATCAACGTTCACACCAGGAGAACCTCCAATCCAAGCAAGACTAACGCCATCCGCATGATCCATAACTGCTTCATCCAGATATGGATTTCCAAGTGGAACAACACCAATTTTCTTCCCTCTCATCTGAGAAAAGATACGACACTTGATTGCAGCATAGTTTTTCATCGTGTGGTGTCGTTCAAGATGATCAGGAGTAAGATTTAGTATCACAGCAACCGAAGGACAAAAGTATTTCGGTGGGATTTCCAGCTGATAACTACTCACCTCCACCACTGCCACCTCTAAAGATCTCCGGTCAGGCGAATGAAAAACAGCATCTGAGAGTGGAACTCCAAGGTTGCCACCAACAAACGTCTCGAAACCCAAATGATTAAGTATCTGTCCTGCAAATGTGGTAACAGTAGACTTCCCATTAGTTCCAGTAACTGCTAAAACCTTAGTATAACTCGGAATAATTTGCGCAGCAAAATCTAACTCTGAGAGTACTTCCTTCCCCGAACATATCATTGATTGAATTCCATATCTTTCCAGTGGAACTCCAGGAGAAACGACAACTACATCCGCCTCTTTCAGAATCTTATCATCAAAATTACCAAAAAATGTCTTCAAATCCGCATTTTTCAGATCTAATAAACCATTATTTATGTGAAATGTTGATTCTGAGATCTCATTTTGATCAATGGCTGTAACTGAAGCACCTCTAGCAAGAGCAAGCTTTGTAGCAGCAGAACCTGATTTTCCAAGGCCAACTATAGCAACTTTTTGTCCCTTCAGGTCTTGTTCAAGGTAGCAGGATTGAATTTTTGTATGTGAGTTAACAAGCTTCGAGCTCACTTTAAAGCTTGAAGCTTTAAGCATTTTGAGTTCAATTAATCTGATAGATTGAAGAATTTGGACTAAGGGAAGAAGATGATGGCTGTGAAATTGGGGAAAATGAAGAACAGTACACACAGCGTATTATCATTTTTTTTAAAAAAAAATTAGACATAATATATAAACGTACTTTTAATTTGAATTCAACTAAAATTTATGTCTTCCCAATTTTGAGCTAGACACTTTACTTTGTATAAAATTGAACGACTAAACATATGTATCCATATGTGTTCACTAATCCATGTAGGAGTATTTGTCTATCATGCTTATGACTTGTAATATTCAAAGTGTTTATTTGTTCGAGTTTTTGAATAGTTAAAGTGTTTACTTAAGCTATTACTACAAAGCTAAAAGTCATAATCATCAATCGAATATGCCTTTAATTAGACTTCAATTAATATTTATGTCCTTTAATTTTACAGTGTGCATAAACAGACACGAACTTGTGTAAAATTGAATAAATAGATACATTTGTTCTACGTAACGTCCTAATTTACAATTTTGTATTGTATGTGACATCCTACATGTATTATGCTAAGATGTGTGTGTCTACATGTTTAATTTTATACAATTTCAAATACCTACTTGTGTACACTCGAAATGGAAGAACATAAATATCAGATAAAATAAAATTAAAAAACATATTTATATATGGAAAAAGAGTCTGATATACCCCTCAACTTTGTCATTTAGAGCTGATATACCCCTTGTTATGAAACTGACTCATATATACCCCTACTTGTAAACAAATGACTCACATATACCCTTTTCCTCTAACGGAAATGAAAAAAATAATAATTTTAATATAAATTTTTATTATTTTTTTCTAAAAAATATAATCCCATATGAGTAAATTTAATCCTCGTCAAATTTATTTATTTTTGACTTTTTTTGTTTCAATGACTAATTTATAATTATTATTTTGATAATCAAATTTATTTATGTTTCACTAATATTCTTGTAAAACTTATTGTAGATGACCAAATTTTTTCTTCGAATATGAAATTAAATTACAATACACACAAAAAATAGTTCAATTTTTTATTCTTTAAACTAAGGAATGAAAAGAAAAAAAACAAAATAAGAACAAGAAATTCAAATAATTAAAATAAAAGAAGTCAAAAAATAATTTATGTATGAAAAAAAATTAAAATATACCTTGAACTTTGATAGAAGAATCATATATACCAGTAAATAATTTTTTTAAAAAAATTAGAAGTAAAAAATATAAATTTAAAACTAATTTTTTAACTTCCGTTAAATGAAGGGTATATGTGAGTCATTTTGTAATGACAAGGGTATATATGAGCCGTTTGTATAACGGTAAGGACATATATGAGCCACTTTTATAACGAGGGGTATATAAGCTCCAAATGACAAAGTTGAGGAGTATATCAGACCCTTTTTATATATTATACAAATCGAAACAAGCTCTAAATTTTTAATGTCAAAAGTGCTCAATAACTAATTCATGTATTATGAACATGGGATTCTCTTATTCATTACCTCACAACAATATATCACCATTAATCTTTGCATATATAAACAAATGAAGTTGATTTTTCATATAACCATAAATTACACAATGGCATGATTCTTCTCATCGTCTAAGGGCAAATATACAAATTCGTCTGAAAACTTGCCTTCGATTCCCTCCAAGGTTAATTTTCCTCCATTAAAGTCGTTGCAATACAAATACAGAAGCACGTAACTCTCTCATCCCAGACGATGCCAGTACCCACCACATCATAGTACCCCCTTACCTGTGACGAAACAAGAAATTTCATTAAGAATGTTCAATATTTATATATGATAAAAATAATTTTTGATCTATATAGTTCGTATAATTACCATCGGAAAACCAGATTTGACTAGACCATACAGCATAGTACTGGCTAAAAACACGTTAGAACCAATCACCATTCCTCCCACCATAAGCCCGAAATTTAAATGTATTCGAAAAGCTACTGATTTCTTCACTTTTATCAAATAACCACTACATCTCCTCAGTGTTTCGAAACCTGATTTTGATTCAACCATTGCTATCACATAAGCTAATGACCAGTTTACCTGTAGCCATAGCAGGATCGGTAACACCACAATAAACGCGAAAATAACAAACAATTTTAGTCGGATTTGAATTCAATTAATCCGAGAGATTGGAGAATTTGGGATAAGAGAAGCACAACTAGGGCGAAAACGTGAATGATTGAAATGAAAATGGTTTGAGAAATGATAAAAGTGGAGAGAAGAGGGAAAAAGGAATTTCTGATGGATTTAATAGATGAAATGAAGGTGATGGATCTATCGTGGCTACGACACAGAGGAAAAACAGGGCGAGAAACAGAGCGTAGACTAGTAATACAATAGCTTCGAAGTTGGGAAAGAAAAGACGGGATTGTGATTGAGTGGAAGCGAAGAAATCTGGATGAAAGAGAGCAAGGCGGAACAAGGACATAAAATAAGAGAGGGAGAGATAGGCAAGAGGAAAAGGATTTTAAGGACATTGAAGTGATCAGAATTAGCGTTGTATATGTGATCTAATGATTTTTTGATATCGGTTCATAGATGATCAAATTCAGTTGACATTGGAGATGGATAATGCATGACAATCAACGATGAAAGAAGAAGAAGATGAATGCTGTGAAATGGAAAATGAAAGAAACTGTTCCAGGTGAAGCCTTTTCATTGACTATTTAGCTCAAGAAACAATCAATTTTTTTTTCCTTTTATAGTGGGATTGAAAGTTTCTTCATTTGATCAAGTCCGATAGTGGAAATACTGAGATCATAATCGGGATGATGATTAGTAAGATCGATGATGAAGAAGAAGAAGATCGTTGTGAATTGGAAAATGAAGGTTACGAATTCGATATGTATATCCGTATCACCTTTTACTCTTTGTGCATCTTTTGCAGTAGTAATTCTTATCAGCTATGTTGCTCAAACACTTCAAAAATGATGTCGTATCAATGTCAGAAATGGAGCCTTTGCTTTGACTAATTATGCCGCATGAGGCCCTACTAACGGAGAAAGGGCCTTGCATTAGGATATTTTGTATCTTTCAAAGAGAAAATGGTCTGATATACCCCTCAACTTTGTCATTTGGAGCTGATATACCCCTCGTTATGAAAGTGGCTCATATATGACCTAACCGTTATACAAACGACTCACATATACCCCTGCCGTTACAAAATGACTCACATGTACCCTTCATTTAACGGAAGTTAAAAAAATTAGTTTTAAATGTATATTTATTACTTTTAATTTTTTTTAAAAATTATATAGGGGTATATATGATTCTTCTATCAAAGTTCAAGGTATATTTTAATTTTTTTTAATACATAAATTATTTTTTGACTTTTTTTATTAGAATTCTTATTTTATTTTTTCTTTCATTCCTTTGTTTAAAGAAAAAAAATTTAAACTATTTTTTGTCTATATTGTAATTTGATTTTTGTATTTGAAGAAAAAAATTTGGTCATCTACAATAAGTTTTACAAGAATATTAGTGAAACATAAATAAATAAATTTGATTATCAAAATAATAATTCTAAATTAGTCATTGAAATAAAAAAAAGTCAAAAAAAAAAATGTTTGGCGAGGATTATAGTTACTCATATGGGATTATATATTGTAGAAAAAAGTAATAAAAAGTTAGATGAAATTTTTTTTTTTCATTTCCGTTAGAGGAAAAGGGTATATGTAACCCATTTGTTTATATGTAGGGGTATATATATGAGCCACTTTCATAACAAGGGGTATATTAGCTCCAAATGACAAAGTTAAGGGGTATATCACACCCTTTTCCCTCTTACAAAATTCGAACCATAAAGTTTTGGTTAAGAATATAGATATCTTAATCCTTTAACCACACTTGGGGTGGAGATTTCCTTTTTCCCATGAAGCGAAAATGTATCATGACTATTAAAGGAAGAGTAATTCACCACACGAGGTTGATATGGAGGAACGGGTAGTAGAATATGTAAGTGCGTTCTTTTTTACTTGTTCGTTATTTCAAAAATAGGTTTTCATTTGAGTATCTTAGGGTAACAATGAGTTGTATATGTCGTGCACGGACTTGAATGGTGAAAAATTATCCTTGGAGATCAGAGTAACTAAACAATTGATCACTCGAAGATGCATATCTTGATACCAATGGTAATAGTACTACCGCATGTGGTTAAAACAATATTATCTTTTCTAGGATACACTGAGATCTTACTTTAGAAAAGATCGTTTCCAAAGGATTCTCGACTCTAAGAGAGGAAAGAAATAAGCATCACGCGATTAAAAAAACCCAAATTTAACAACACAATCTATAGAGAAATTAAACAAACTTACTCAATAGCATGATTTTTTCTCATTGTCTACATACTCATTAGCTCCGGTGAACTTGTCTCCGCTCTCCAATAGCAACTTTTCACCATTGAAGAATTGTTCTTTACAATACATGTACAAAGCTACATTCTTTAGAAGATGGTAATTCATCATAAGAGATCCCGCCACAACCGCCAATATCACCACCAAGCTACCACGGGCAACACCCACCGCGACTGGAATAATGGAATGAGTAACCACCAACAGTCCCATTAAAAGCCCGTCAAACAGCATCGTGTACGAAGCTATCCATCTCTTCCCCTTTAACAAATTCGCACTTCTCCTCAATGCTTCGAAACCAAACTTAGATTCAACCACTGCTATCACATAAGCTAATAACCAATTCACCTGTAGCCAAAGAAGAATCGGTACAATCACAATCAACGAGAAAAAACACAAATATAAAAAGTGATTCAGGTCGTATTTGAGTTCAATTAATCTGATAGATCGAAGAATTTGGACTAGGAAAACTACGACTATAACGAAAAACAGAGCAATTGAAATGAGAATGGTATGAGAGAGGATAAAAGTTGAGAGAAGAGGAAAGAAGGAATTTCTAATAGATTTAACAGAGGAAAGAAGATTGATCGGTTTATCGCACAATGCTTGAGCAGCACTGTGTGTAATAGTGGCTACGGCACAGAGGTAAAATAGGGATATACAGAGAGTGTATAGTATGGGTAAGACAATTTCGAAACTGGAAATGGGAAGGTAGTGAGAGTCAAGTTGGTAGAAATTGTAGTCGGGATGAAAGAGGGCGAGGTGGAAAGAAGGATATACGATGAGAGTGAACAATGGTAAGAAGAAGAGAATTGAAAGTCCATGGAGATGTCGAGGGTGAGACTTCATTATGCGGTGAATTGGTTTCAGGATCTCTACCCGTTGGCTACCATTTTCGGTAGGAGTAGACATCGGAGTTAAGTGAGAAGAAGAAGACGACAACCACTACAATTGCTTCAGCAGGAGCTGCTGCCCAAGATGTGTGTGAAAACTGAAGGTAAAACAGTACACAAGTATTATTTCCTTTTGGCTTATCCTACAACTCTTGTGGTTCCTAGCACTCCTCTTTATTTTTTTTTAAAATCATGTTCTCGATAGTTTTGAGTTGTGACATGTCTTGTTTAATTACCTTTCCTTTGATACGTCTTCACTATAGTGCCAGTTGTCTTGTGACCAATTATTTATATGACGACTTGGTCTTGGTCGAATCAGAAAAGGAGAAGCTTTAAATGTCCCCTTAATTTGACTGTTTCTTAGAGCCAATACTAATACAAATATCTACAACTGATTCTTTCATTTTTCATTTCTCACCAGCATTCATTCATTCATCTTCTGCATCATCGAACTCAATGTCGTTTGCTTCGACAGAAAATTGTATACCCGTATGGAGACAGATCCTAAATTCAACATTGCTCGTACTCAGATCTCATTCTCTCCATTTCCATGCACTTTCAATCATGTTCCTGTGGCCTATAATTTTCTCTTTAATTGTATATCCTTCTTTCGATCTTGCCTTCTTTCATCCCGATTATAATTTCATCATTTCAACTCAGTTTTCCATTTCCAGTTTCGAAATTTTTGTAACCATGGTGTGCACTCTGTTTTTTGCCCTGTTTTTCCTCTGTTCCATAGCCACAATTACATATAGCACCGTTCAAGCGTACAAGAATAGACCGATGAACCTCATATCGTCGATTATATCTATCAGAAATTCTTTCTTCCCCCTTCTCTCCACCTTCATCGTTTCTCATACCATATTCATTTCAGTTATTATCATTATTGCCCTTGTTTTTGTTGTTTCACTCCAAATTCTTAAAGATCTCGGGTTGATTGAACTCCAAAACGACTCGAATCACTTCTGGTTTTTGTTCATTCTCGTGATCGTACCAGTACTGCTATGGTTACAGGTGAACTGGTCATTAGCTTATGCGATAGCAGCGGTTGAATCCAAATGGGGATTCGAAACGCTGAGGAGAAGTGCGTATTTGGTGAAAGGGATGAGATGGGTTGCTTTCTGGACACATTTGTTCTACGGGCTATCGTTGGGAGCAATGGTGATTGGGAGTAACGTCGTTTTTGTGATTTTGGGTGTGGGAAAGCGCGATCATTGGCGGAGTTTTTCTGTGACATCACAAGTCGTGCAGTGTACAGTGCTGGGAACTTTGGGAATGAATCAGTTTCTTGTATTGAATGTGGTATTATATATGTATTGCAAGGGCTTGGAAGGCGAAAAATTGTCATTCGAAGATGTATCAGTGCCATTGGACGACGAGGAGAAGAATCATAATATTGTGTAGTACATGTCGGTACTGAAAGATGGTGAACTATGTCTAAGCAGGTGAATCGAGAGGAAAATCTCGAGCCTGACGGCTGCAGTAATACTGAACATACAAATCAATCGTTTTACTATCAAACCGTCTAGTAGCTGGTTCCTTTGAAGTTTACCTTGTGATAGCTTGAGCCTGTTTAATTTCTTTAAAAATCGTGTAAGACTTGGTTTGTTTTGTAAATTGCACAGATTGTGTAAGCCAAATGGTTTTGCTATGTAGAAATGTACAATAGATCATGTGCATGCCTCGCAATACGCATACAATACCACGTTCCGATAACATATCCATAATATTTACATATCAATATATAACTATTTGGCTCATACATCTCTTCAATTACAATATCAAAGTACCACACGTTTAATCTTTTCTAATTTAAAACAAAACCAAATAACTACACAGCATCATGATTCGTCTCTTCTTCTTCAACGGACAGAGAAACGTATTCTCCAGCAGCAGTTTTCGACATCAATTTCTCATCATTCAACTCCTTGCAGTGCATATACAACACCACGTTTGCCATAAGATACTGATTCATCAGTATATATCCCATCGCCGAATTACACACAGTCACCAGTATTCCCGCGAAGCTCCTCCATGTTTCGCGTTTTGCTAAAAACATGGCATACCAAACCACCATATATACAATCACAGTCCCATAATACATAAGAATCTTCAAAGCTACCCATCTCTCCCCTTCTACTAACTTCGCACTTCTCCTTAGTGTCTCGTAACCCTTCTTCGATTCAACCATTGTTATCACATAAGCTAAACACCAGTTCACTTGTAGCCAAATCAGAATCGGTACAATCACGATCAACCAGAAAATAACCAAAAATAACAAGTGATCGGAGTTTGATTTGAGCTCAATTAGTCCAAGAGATTGAAGAATTCGCACTACAAACACCAAAATTAGGGCGAAAAGAAGAGTGGATGAAATGAAAATTGTTTGCGAAACAATGAAGGTGGAGAGAAGAGGGAAGAATGAATTTCTCATAGATTTAATAGACGAAAAGACGTTGATCGGTCTATCATAGATCACTTGAACAACGCTATATGTAGTAGTGCCTACTCCACAGATGAAAAAGAATGTCAAAAACAGAGCATACAGTACAAGTAGAATAGTTTCGAAACTTGAAATTGCGAAAAGTTGAGGAAATTGAAGTTGAGCATAGCTAGTGAAATGATAATCGGGGTGAAATATGGCAAGCTCGAAAGAAGGATATACAATTAGAGAGAGAATGATAGGGAAGAGGAATAGGATTGAAATTGCATGAAAATGGCGAACATGAGATTTGAATGTTGTTCTGCTTGATTCAATGATTTCACTCCATAAGTTATAGCCATTTTCTGTTGAAGTATTATTCATTATGATGAATTGCTGTGAAAATGGAAAATGAAGAAAACACTACTTTTTGTAGTTTATATATATAAGCTATCAACAAGACAACAATGACTTTTTGTTCTTCTTTGACTAATTATGAGGTCAACAAACATTCGATTAAAAAACTTTTAAATCTTTATGATTTTAAACTTTTAAATATTTAACTTAAAAGGAAGATTTAAATTAAAGAGTTAGGGATAAAATATAAGTATTTCTATCGAAATTACAGAAACACATTTAAATTTAATTAAGATCTTATTACTTATTAATTTATTTTTTTCATATTTTTATGTATCTTTTGTGCTGATATGATATTTTCAACCACCCAAATTCATCCGCCACGTGTGCAAATATTTTTTTAATAAATTTTTTAAAAGAATATTTTATTTTTTAATCTTGTACTTAAATTAGTCAGTACATTTCTTTAGCCTTGTATTAGAACTTTTTTTTACTTACATTCATTGTTTTTCTCTTTTTATGTTTCTAGTGATTTTATTTTATTTGTCTTTCATTTTTATTTGATTTTATATATAAAATTTTAGGTCAAACTTAAATTATTTGACTTTCGAAAAATGAAAAATGTCACCTAAATTGAGACCGATGGAGTATATGACCCTTAACTTAACGTCAACTGACAATTATGACTTTTAACTTTAGGTGTTCACAATTAGGAACTTAAACTTGTATAAAATTGAATAAATAGACATATTCGTCCTACATGACAATTTTATGTCATGTAGGACATGCATTTTACGTGTATTTTGTCATGTAGGACATGTATATCTACGTGTTCAATTTTATTACAAATTTACGTATCTACTTATGCACACTTAAAATTGAAGGACATAATTATACGTTGAAAACAAATTAAATATCATATTTATGTATTATGCCTTCAAAATAATAATTTTCCACGTTGGCGTTGAAAGTTGCTTCTTATCACCAACTGTCCTGATAGTAATGTTTTGTCCCTATATTAAAACCGTATTTTCAACATAATCTTTTTAAATTTAACTTTTATAACACCAGATGAAAGAATAATTTGATCATGTCTATTGAAGTGTCTCATCTAAAAACACACTCTTTCACTTGCAGATTTGATTTTTTTTCATGGATCAAAAATTTGAAAATTCATTTTAATATGTTTAATCATGAAATTTGACCGTAGGATCTTTGCTTGCTATGATAATATATTAAACTATTGTAATCATCTTTGACAAATATTATACTATATTTTCTCTGATGACAATTGACATGACAAGGGAATTAAGCTGAATTTTCTTCGTAAAAAATAAACATACTAATAATGTCAAACGACTAATTTTTGCAACAATATGTCGAAATTGTTGAATTCCTTTTATATAATTGAAGATTCTATTGTGGAGGCAATGTGTCATAGTTCACAATGTTTTTTGCGAAAAGTATTACACCATGTTGATAGATACGTAATTCAATTGTCTCCAATCATCAAGTGGTTATCGTGCGATAATTCCAAAATTAGAGTGCACGTCATGGGTGTGTTTGTTATGAAGGATAATGTTTTTATAGAAAATGTTTTTCTGGAAATCAAGTAGATTTTTAACTTATTTTTTCATGTTTGGTTAGTGAATAGAAAATATTTTTTAGTGTTTAATATATGAATGAAAAATATCTTTTCTTTTTACTAAAGAGTAGAAAATAATTTTTGAAATTGAAAAAATATTTTAAAAAAAATAAACTTAAATTTTTCTTTGGAGGGGGTCGGGGATGGTAAGAGGGCTGATTTGGGGGGGGGGGGGAGGGGGAGGGTTGCAGGTAGGCGTGGTGTGAAAAAATAAAAATTGAAAACTGAAAATATCTTTTAAAAGCATTTTTTTTTTGGGGGGGGGGGGGAGGTGTTCGAGTAGGAGGGTGGATGAAAAATAAAAATTGAAATTATTTTTTAAAAGCAAACTTTAATATTTTTCTTTTTTTGGGGGGAGGGGGGGTTCTGGTGGGGGAGGGATGGGGGTTGGCAGGATTGGGGGCGTGGGGTGGGGTGAAAAACAAAAAATGATTTTTTTAAAAAAACAAACTTTAATTTTTTTGGGGGAGAGGGTGTGTGTGTGTGAGGGTGAGGGTGCGATAAACTCTAAAATGTTGAAATTGAAAATATTTTTTTAAAAATAAATTAAATTATTATTTTTTGGTAGAGGTGGGGGGCTGGTAGGGAATTGATGGAGGGTCGAGGGCAGGACTGATTTTTTTTTTTTTTGAGGTTCTGGTGGGGGAGGGATGGGGGTTGGCAAGATTAGGGGGCGTGGGGGGGGGGGGTGAAAAACAAAAATTGTTTTTTCTTTTTTTTTTTTTTAAAAAAACAAACTTTAATTTTTCTTTTGGGAGGGGGGGGGGGGGGATGAGGAGGGTTGAGGGTGCGATGAACAAATAAAATATTGAAATTGAAAATATTTTTTAAAAAATAAATTTAACTTATTATTTTTTGATTGAGGTAGGGGCTGTAGGGAATTGATGAACAGTCGAGGGTAGGAGTGGGGTGAAGTGGGTGAAAAACTAAAAACAATGAAATATTGTTAGTGAAAAAATTTACAAGATAATAAAATTGCAAGACTACCACTACTAGAAATTTGACTTACTGCAACGCTTATTTAGCAATGGTTATACCATCGTAGCAATAGCTAACCTATTACAACGATTATAACCGTGGCCAAATATCCTTGAATCTAATAGAACAATTCTTAAAATAAACTGTTGCATAATCCCGATAACCATCCCTATAGAGAAGGTATAGCAACAAGTTTTAAAACCGTTGCTATAGACAACTCTATGGCAACGGTTTTTTAGAAAAATAATTCTAATTTTTTAGCCCTAAATATTTTTCCCTCCTAAAAAAATATATTTGCCTCCAATATAATTAGTCCCTCCTAAAAAAATAATTCTTATTTATTAACTTTTTAGAAAATGTAAAGAAAAAGAATAAAATTGATTAGAAACCCTTATTTTTCAGAAATTTCATCAAAGCAATGTGAGAGAGCTTTTTGTGGGTGAAGCTGCATGTGAAAGGAATTTCTGAAGATTTTGGTGAGAAAAACGAAATTTGTTGGTGAAGCTCGTTGGTGAAGCTCGTTGGTGAAGCTTGTTGGTGAAGCTGTTGGTGAAGCTCGTTGGTGAAGAGCTGTCGGTGAAATTGTTGGTGAAGCTCGTAGGTGAAGCTGTTGCTGAAGCTCGTTATTGAAGCTCGATTGTGAAGCTGTTGCTGAAGCTCGTCGGGGAAAACAACCAGCTCGTTCTTTTTGGTGGTGTTTTTGAGGTTCGACTACGAATTCATCTTAATATGTTTAAGTTTTCTATGCTAGTTCATGATTTCTAAGTCCCCATTGAATTAATTTTGAAACATGTTAAAGAATAATATATGGTTTAGTCTTAAACCTATGTTATTTGCTCCAATATAGTTAGTGTATAAACTTTCCCTGTTTGATTCTGTGATATATAAGAGAGTCAAAATCTAGTGCTCCAAGTTTGTGGATCTGTAAGTATTTCTTTCTGCATATTTTTTTGTTCCAGCTGAATTCTTCCTTAATATTCCCCATTTGATGTGAATGTGGACAAAAATTACTCCCAAATTACTTCCTACTGGTATTTGTTTCACTTTTTGTTGACTGATATGGCTTAATTTGAGAGCAAAAATGAAGAAAGTAATGTTCAAAATTTCGAGCATATGCAGACAGCAGAGTATGCTTTTCATTTGATTTTCTGTATTTAATATTTTTCTACTTTCACCTTTCCATGGCAAAGAAAATCTTATTCTTTACAACAACTGATGTACATAAGATTTGGGCAAAAAGGAGAAAAAAATAACAAAACCTTCTGTTTCTGACTGCTAACATTGTTGATTTATTACTACAGATAGACTATATAGTATATACTCACAGTTGTAAGTGTATATATATAACGACTAACGTACATAATATGAGTATATAATAAGATGTCAGCTAGACTTGCCGCGCAACTTAGCAGCTTCTGAGCTAGTTGTTGTCATGAAAGATTCTCCACAACCACATTGTCCAGTTGCATTTGGATTGACAAATATGAACTCAGATTTGTTCATAATATCAAGTATTTCAGTTTTGATGCTTATGAGACAAATATAACGATAAACCATGTTAATGAATAGCAATATATTGGAGTGCAACTGGGTGATGCAAGTTAGTGCTACTAGAATTCACGCAGTTAAAGTATGGCGGATCAGTTTCACAAGAACAAAGATGACAAAACTATATAGTTTTTGGACTCAATCTCGCTAATCAGTATATGAAGTTCATATTCCTCTCATTTTAAAAAGGGAAGACATGAATCATGGGTGAAGTCTGTATAATTTGAAAGAATATATTGTTATACTCATTCATAGGAACCACAGACAATGAGACGAGAGAAAGTAAAGAGAGACAATAGACTGCACTATAGCTAGACATGACAAGCAAACAAAAATCAGTAATGTAATTGCTTTTCTGTTACACCTTATTTTTCCTTAAGGTGGAGTCCTGAAAGTACATGATAGGATAATCTAGAGAAAGTTACAACACAAGTCGCAAAGGTTATCTTCAATTTTGTTTTTGACTATTAAGAGATGTTTAAACTTGAGTATCACTGTCGTTTTACTTTGAAATACATTCGAATTCTGATATTGTCTATGTCTTTTGCTTGTTCGATTGAATGTTATCTTCCCTTATGAGTCACTGCCAGCATAAACTGTGACACATAATGCCCTATTTATTCATTAAAGTTAATGACATTGTGTGGATTTGTGCATTTTGCGATATTGTTTTGATCATTCACGAAGCACAAATTGATTTGCTTTGTATGATTTACTTCTCACTTTACATGTTCGTTGTGTTTTATTTGGATGAAGTGTCTATAATTTAAACTGGCTATAATCGTGTTAGTCTTAGGAATTTGTGTGTCATTAATAGAAATGTGTGGAACTTGAATTTGTTTTTCAAGTTTTTAACTGCTTGCACAATTCATATTATATTGACAGTGAATGTACATTTTATTAAAAAGAGACCTTTTTAAC